GTGGCCCTGCTGCGTTAGGCGGCCGGTTCACCTTGTAGTTGTGGAACGGGGTCTCCTGCTCGGCGGGTGGAGCGGTGGTGCTCTCCCGGGAAAGCACGGGTTGGTGGAGGGGAAAGGTCTTCTCTGGGAATCTTAGTGGGAAGGAGAAGGCTCTGAAGAAGGTGAATTTTCCCCTGGTGGGATTGGTTGGCCACCCATTGGGGAGCTTTGTGGAAGCATTTTGATGACATATGATGCCAGATTATAATGAAAGGGATCGTGAGTAGCCTTTATGCTGTCTACAGTGCTTAATTGCACTTTAAGGCAGATAAATACATTGCCCTAGGTAAGTACTGTCCTTTTAGATGTTGCTCTCTAAGGACTTCCCATCTCTTTTTTTTTTCTTATAGCTATACCACATCTAATTAGCCATAACTTAGCATTTGGGTAGGCTATTCAGCATTCTCAAATGCCTTTTGCACTTTTATATCCTAAGCAGAGTAGTGCAACCCGGGCTTCTCTTGCAATGGAAACTTACAACCCTGAAGTCTGACTGCGGGCACTTCCTCCTGAGGCAGGACGCTTTGTCCTTATTGACAGTAAATGCTGCCCTTGCCTAAAAAAGCGGCTTTGAGCTGGGTTGAAAATGGCATGGCGTGTTAAAGGCTGCACGGATCCAGTCAGCACTGGTCTGTGGAGTTTCCTACGGGTGATGAGCAGATCAGCCAAGTTCCCTTTGTGCTTTGCATCGTAAGTGCTTCGTGTCTCAATTTCTCATTCAGTAAACATAGTCTCTTGGCAAGGAAGCATCATGTTGAAAGTAAAATCAGTAGGTCGTCCTTCTGCAAAAGGGGAATTGTAACAATACGTTCTCTTGCCTTTTATCCACAAAGCTTGTTTGGTTTTTCCTGCTTCTTCCATGAAGATAATAAAAATAAAGCTGACATTGGTATGGTCTTATTCAGCTGCCATGAACCTGCAACCTCCCTGTCATTGTTTCACACTCCTGAGCCTAGGGTGATCCTGTTAACCGGAAAAGAGAATGCTGCTGATGGCATGACAGTTCTGCATGTGTATAAATCTGGTATGAACTTGCCAACTGGCCCTCTGAACTCTTTAACTACTTGCCATGGCACTTTCAATAATTTTCCCTTTGAAAATCATCTCTCAGGAAGAATTTTTCCCGTCAATGGACTTGCTTGCTTTATTCTGTCAAAGGTGTTTAATAGACTGTTCTGTCTAAGCTGGCTAGTCACTTCCAGCTAAAGCCAGTCTAACATCTAGAACTTCCCATGGAAGGGATAATCACACTACTACTGATGGGAAAAGCCCTCTCTTTCTTTCTATAGGAAATACTACTACGCTAAAGTTATTAACTTCATTTAAAATTAATCTCTTATTTAAAAATACATTTTTTTTCAGTGTTATTAAAACCAATCCTCTTCATAGGCATGAAAGTCTCGCTGAAGATCTCTTTCTTTGTTTCTATGAAAAGCAAAAAAGGATTTCAGTACAACAGATTTTAAAGGAAATAATGCTGTTCAGTCTTATCAGAGTAGGGGAATTGGATACCATATCAGCTTGCTTCCATCTTCAGAAACCAAACCAAACTGGAAGAAGTGACTCAGTAATGTAAGGGTTACTACTGCTCTACAAAAGTTCTTAGTCTCCTTCAACAATAGGATATTCGTCAAAATTATTTCCTTATTTTATATGCCTCTCTTGTCCTATCCAGAATGCAGGTAGATCCAAAGCTTGGTTTAACCCTTCATCTCATCAGGCGAGCAGGGTAGGAAACTGACTCCATAGGCGGACGTGCACTTGGAATTGTTGCGAACTGGAACTAAAAGAAAAATTGCTGATTTGATTTTGAAGATGTAGATATTATTGTTCATTTCTTCCACTGCATGTGCTTAAAATCTTCCACTCATCTGTTCACTTCTGCTTTTTCATCTATAGGGGCATAGCGCTGTTCTGCACATTGGCTCAGTTTTCAAGTTGGCACCTTTCTTATCTCTTTAAAATATTTCATTTTAACATGAGATTATGTAAGTAGAATCTTTCATGCAAGTTTATTTAGATCAGATTGTCTGCAAAATGTGTCTCATCGCTAGGTGCAAGCAAAAAGTCAGTAAGTTTCTATGTTCCTCTCAAGTATATGGTCCACTCCATCTTCCCCTGGAAACAGTGATACCTGTTGAAAGTTGCAGTTTGATTGGGCACGAGTCCTTACAATCTGCCCCAAATGTGAACCTAAACTTAGGCCTGGTCACAGAACAGCATGTGATAAATAAGCAGAACTCAGGATAATTCCTTTCCTTGTCTTTAAGCTGTTTGAGGTGGTTTCAAAAAAGTTCTTCAAGTAGAATATATTAGCGCATACCAGGTTCTAAGGCAGCACGTGATACACTTGATGTGGTCTTGATCAGTTAGTGCTGCTATATGTGTCCTTCCCCAGCTCCTCCAAACTAATATGCAACTACTTTATAAAGTCCTTTTGACTTGCACTGTATAGCAGCATTTTTTATTGACCTTGTAAGTCTTTACAGAACTTATTATGTTTTTTCAAGAAAAGTTTCTCAGATTGGAACTTCTGGTCATCTAGTGTGGAAGGCCCAGGTTCATTCAAGTGCCATCTGTGCCTGATGTAGAGCAGGGAGTCTATGTTAATCTTCTATGTTTCATGTAAATGTCATAACAGACAAACTACTTTAATTTTACTGTATGAGGATTTTAAAATTTTTTTTTACTAATCCTGGGAGGAAAAAAAAAAAGTTGTTCTCACTAGTGAAGAATGAAAATACCCAACCTCACGTTTATACAAATTTACTTTTGGGTTGGGTTTTTTTTTGTATAGTTGCATATCTAAAGTACATTCTTCTAATGACAACCAGTGAGACAGTATTATATAGAATTACTTGGGGAAAAAAACCCCCAAAATTTCTTGTAATCTGTGTTAAGATGAACTGACTCTTTGACCTGTACGCTCAATTTAATTTCCTTGAAAAACATTATATGAATTAGTAAATGGATGTGGCCTACTGTGCAAATGAGGAATGTATACATACTTCTCATCAGATTCCTTTCCAACAGAAAATATTTTCTTTTCTCTCTCTTGTTACAGATCAAGCATATGATGGCTTTCATTGAGCAGGAAGCCAATGAAAAGGCTGAAGAGATAGATGCAAAGGTAAAAATGGAAGTTCAATGTCAGTAAGTGCAAAAGAAAACTGCATCTGACATCTTGTTTTGATAGCTGCAGTCAGAGCAGTCCTTGCAACACTTTGTAAAGTACAGTTTGCTTCACATTTAGTTATTACATAGCAGAAAATGATGCTACCAAATTAAGTTAGTATTTGTTAGCTTTTGACAAATCAGGTTGGAGCTATTTTTTGGTCAATGTTTTCATAGTGGTTCTTAAATATAAATTTATTCATTTGCAAGTTCATTTTTTTTTTAAGCAATGAGGATAGCTGAGTGATAATGTGAATAGACTGGATTAAGTGGAACATCTTCCCCCACCTCCTATACATAATGATGTCACTGAGGATTAAAGGAGTTCTCTGCATAATTGTGAATTCTGCTAAGGTTTGTCATAACCAGCTATTACAGGAAGTTTTAATTTTAATTTTTGTTTGACTTCCGTAGTGTGTCAGGCAGAGACATTAGCAGTAAATTAAAGCAATAATGCCAGTAATCTTGCACAGACATTCATACATGTACCAAAGTGATAAAAGATGAGAGTTAAACTGGTTGAATTATGTTGGTGAAAATTTGTTCATGTTCATAACTGTACCTAAACGCGTGTAGCCACCTGCAGATTCAAGTCTAGATGTGATTTAGTAGGTATCCTGGGGAACTAAAACATAAATTTATATTTAAGGCATGAGTTGAATTACCTGCAGAATTCTTCACTGAGGTTAAGCCACAAGAGACTGAGTTTAATATTAACCTGGTGATAGAATACAGATGTTTACTAAAGAAGGATTAATGGTGCCTTACAACCCTAACAATCTGCATTATACCAGTACTGAAATATCTTGTTGGTATTGGACTCAGCATATGTATTCCTAATAGTATTTATCTCCCTTAAACATTTAGAGCTACACAAATATTTAATCAATACTAAAGCAGGTATTTCTGATGATCTGCAAATAGAAGTCAGAAGTTGAGACTGGATTCTCGAGCATAAATAGTAAAATTTGCCATGTGTTTTCACATGCTGTCTGGCTAGGCTTTATAAAAAAGTAATAGCTATACTGTCACTCTCCTTGTGTAAGAATTGCTTAAAGTAATTGAGTTTGTGGACACTGAGGGCTAGGTAACTTGTTTTAGGTAGAATCTCTTGTAGCTGGAAAAGAGACCGATTCTACAAAACCAAATCAGACCTTGAAGCTCAGATAAAATGAGTTTTGCTTAACAGTATATAATATATAACTTCGGTAATTTTGTGCCTGAGGAATAAATACTGCAAGGAAACACATGCCAGTCAATTGATAAAATAAGCTTTATCTTAGTTAGCAACATTCTAGTTCAGCAGAACACATCCTGAACTCGTTTTGACTTGAGTACTGGTTGAAATGTTTTATTTATATGAGAACATAAATTGTATCATCCTAGCCTATCTATGAATATGCTCTGAAAGTATGGCTGTTTCATTTTGATTCTGTTTTTTTCAGCCCATGGAATCAATTTCCACTTCAGTTATTTAATTTTTACTGTAGGCAGAAGAAGAATTCAACATTGAGAAGGGTCGCCTTGTTCAGACACAGAGGCTGAAAATCATGGAGTATTATGAAAAGAAGGAGAAACAAATTGAACAGCAAAAGAAAATGTAAGTTGCTTAGGTTAGATGGCTGACTTCAGAGCATGAGCTCTCATTTTATAGCTAATTTTATACAAAACTGGTTTTCCCTGGCAAATAGCAAGTTGTAGCCAATATATTTAGTTCTAATTATGAGTTTCTAGTTTTTCTCGGGGAGAAATTATCAAAGGTGAGCTACAATAGTATACCTGCTAGTAACTGTGGTGAAAGAATCTTTCATATTTCTTTATGTAGTTAATATCTAGAACTCTACCCTGGTCTGTTACTCTGGGTCAAATGTTCATGCCAGGTTCAGTTTTGGTGGGTCTTTACTGAAGGATGGGGTTCTGCATTGTAATCATTTGTGCAGGTTCAGAAACAGATTCAAACAGGTGAACAGGCTTTGTTATCAAATGTGGCAGTGTTGTTATCTTTAAATGTAAAGTGTACAGTTAAATGTTGCAGTTCTTCTGTCAAAGTCTGATGGATTGATTCAGCTTTTTCATGCAACTTGCAGTCAGATGTCCAACCTGATGAATCAGGCAAGACTGAAGGTCCTCAAGGCAAGGGATGACCTTATTGCAGTGAGTATCTCTGTAGTAAAGACACAGAGGTTCTATTCCTACCATCTGTTATGAAATGTTCTTAACCATTCTCTAAAGAAAAATACGATTTGTGATTGAGTGACATTTGCTTCAAAGTACAAAAATTACTTTCCCAGCTGCTCTGGAAAGACGTTAAGGATTTAGTCCAGCTTCAGTGGTCTGCTTTAGCTTATTCTCACAGTTTCTATTACCTGCTCTTTTAGGGAAATACAGCTCTCTGCTAGGAACATTGCAGGCAACAGTTTTATCTATCATTTGGACAACAGCTTGTTTATTTAAAGAGCAGGAACTCTCTCTTGCATGGGTGGTAGAATTTTGAAGTTCTGTTTGCCTGAAGCAACATTCATGCATTAAATCTGGCATGGCTTAGGCAAGTAGGCTTAAAATACCACTAATTGGGCTTTTCTGTCTCCTTTAGCAGGCCCTTGTATGTGAAAAAGTTTGCTTCTTGTTCTAGCACGTGACCAGTCTGTGTGATCATTTATCAGAGCAGGCTACGTTTAGTCTTAGTTGATGCTTACTATGTTTATCTTACACCACGTGTAGTGTATTCTCATTCTGCTCATTATACAGCTTGCAGGGTTTCTGTTATCTCTTACTCCATCTCAGAAACAGTTTGAGTGTTCGTATTCTGCTAGATGGTGCTGTTGAGCTGTTGGAAAAGCTGCAACAACTGTAGAAGTAAAACATAAAAAATGGGGTAATGTTGCTGAAGTTAATGCTACCACAGAAAAGGGGAGTTAGCAGAAGAAAATCACCAGTTTATTGATTCTTTAAACCTAGTTTCAAACTTTAGATTGTATTCACAGAGAGGAGGAAGGTGGGTGGCTAAAGAGCTAACTCTGTTGTGATAGTCCGGGCTGGGTGATCTCTTCCTCATTTATCAGCTGACTCAGTCTCATGCTTCTGAGTAATGCATAACACTCTTCCTCATTTTAAAACATTTGAAGTCACCTGCTGCTAGCTCTTTCTTCCCTTGTCAGATGTTTGGCCTCTTTCATGAACGAGATGAGCGGTTCCAGAAATGCTGTGTTACTCTAGGGTGGACAGCATAATTAGCTTTGACTGTAACGTTACATTGTGATAGTCTTATATCCTAGTACCGATTGTGTTAACATGCACTCTTCTTTTAAACACTATGAGGCAGGACAGTAAAGAAAGGTTTAAACCAAATCATACAATTTCTTTATCTGAAGTAATTATGATGGTTCCGTTCTAGGAGCTGTGTTTGAATTGACTCAAATTTCTTAAAAATTCAATCTTATCTGATACTGATTTGCTGAATAAAGATAATCAAAACCAGCTACCTCAAATTAAAAATAAGCTCTTGCTTTTAAATGTTGACTTGCATTTACTTACAATTAAAAAACAGCTAACCTGAATATTGTTTGATAAAAAGATAGATTAGATTTCTTTGCTCAACCACAAAGCTGAAAAAATGAGTTACTTGGGCAACTTTATTAGTTTACATTAGGCAATGATTTACAAAGTATTTTGATTTGTCTGTCTGAATTAATATTATAAATACTATCCTTTTACTACTGAGGTCTCCCTTTTTCATGAAAAAGGAATTATTGTCAGGTTATAATGGGTTCAGATCAGGGCAGGGAGAAGGGAACTGTTTGGAAAGGATACTGTGCCATGCACAGAGATGAAGGTCTAGCTTGGATGAATACCAGCTGGAGTGTACGTTTACGTGTTGGCAGGGTGTGATAGCTATAATAGGAGTACAGAAAGTTGGTAGGCATGAAACCAAATGCCAAACAGATGGGCTCTGCTGATCTGATTTCTTCTGAATGTAGGATTTGCTGAATGAGGCCAAGCAGAGACTTGCCAAGGTGGTGAAGGATACTGCCAGGTACCAGACACTGCTGGATGGACTAGTTCTACAGGTAAATACTTAAATTGTAACAAACAGATGGTCACAGCCCAATCCACCTAGGTGTCTTTCTTCAAACATAACCCACTGGAGGCTACAATTGTATTGGAGTCTAGATCAAAAGTTGCTGGCTGATCTTTCAGTTTTAAGCATCACTTCTGCTGTATCTTTCAATCTTGGATTCTGAACGGATAAGGCTGCAGCTTATTTTGGGGTGTAAAACCTGGTATACCAAGCAGCAGTTCGATTATAAGAATAATTGCAGATGCACACATATACATTGTAGCATGCGCATTTAGGATGCATACTTTAAGCTTCTGTAGTAATTAGTTGGCTCAAAACCTATCCAAACCTGTAAGTCAATAGTTATCCACTTTTAAAATCTTTTTTGCGTTTGCAAAAGTCCTGTCTTTGACAAATTTACCGTAGTATGGCTTGTGTCTGTGACAGACTTACAAAGCAGAAATCAAAACTTTGCTTAGCTAGAATGTCATCCTCAAGCCCCAGAAATGAACTGCTAGAAATCCAGTCAGCATTGGCCAGGGTCAGTCGTGCGACCCCTAGTGCCACCTTCTGGTACGAATTGGTGCTTTTGCTATAAACTTGGAGAAGCCAGCTGCGAGCTTTCCTGTCCGCAGTTTGATGGCAGTTTTCTTAATGGTATTTCCTACCAGCTTGTGCTTCCAATTCGGTTTTGTTTCGTTGTCACACCTAGGTCTGGTATTGCTGTACATCAAACCAACCTGTGTCACTCTTGCAAGCTGTCCGCGTCTGTCTTGGCTCATTATATTTGATCCAGTGAGGGATCTGTACTCATCAGTACTCACAGTTGGACTAGATGATCGTTGTAGGTCCCTTCCAACTGGAACTAAACCTATTCTATTCCATTCTCATGTATTACTACAGGAACTGCAAGGCAGGAGTTATTAGAACAGGCATCTGAAACTACTGCATGTCTTCTCCAAGAGCTCCGTAGGAGAATGTCAGCTTGGCTGCATGCTCAGTCTACTTGATCATTGTTTGTCTGCAATCATCCTGATGTATACATGTACACTGCCTGTGCAACTCAATCCTATGATATATATGTTTAGTTGCACTTGAGTTCCAAACCTGAAGCTGACAAAGAAACACATAATCCATAGCTGTAGGCTCTTTCCCAGATATTGGTGCTGTCCTTTCAGAATGTCTGCATGAGGTGAACTTGCCAGCAAAGAACTAAATAAGGGAGGCTAATATTCTCAGGTTTTGGTTTTCAAATTGATCAGCTCCTTTCCTTTCTTGGGGTTAAATAATTCTAAGACCATTAAAATGTTGACTTTCTAATACTGTAATGGTTATCTTGTGCAGGGATTCTACCAGCTGCTTGAGCCCAGAATAGTTGTTCGGTGCAGGAAACAGGATCTCCCTATGGTTAAGGTAAGATACCTAGAATAGTTTGACAGTATCCTGCTCACAAAGGCTGGGACCTGACTGCAAATATTTGCTGCTCAGATCCCATCTGTGTGACATGAAAACAGGCTTTGCTTGTTGCACTTTTGCTGCAGATACAATGCAAGAGGACAAGTATGCTTTTCAAGTTGGGGATCATTTGCTTGCTTGGATATTACCTTGGAAACTTTAGACATTGCTACAATATTAAGAAGAATAATTGGGTTTGGCTCAAAAGCAATAGTGAAATACATTTGCTTAATTAAAAAAAAGGGGCCTCAATCCCTTCATTTTATTACTACAAATGATTGAGTGACCAAACCCAAGTGATGCACTAGCATTCGTCAATGCTAATTGGAGGTTTGTCTTGTATCCTAGACTGCTGTACAGAAGAGCATTCCCATCTACAAAAATGCCACAAAAAGGGATGTGGATGTTCACATTGACCAAGATAACTTCCTGCCAGAAGAAATGTAAGGAAAATGGGAGTCTTTGTATACAAAGCACTAACTTAATGCAACTTTTCAAGCCACAGCTCCTACTAGAACAGTGTCAAGAAATTATGTATGGAATATCCCCACAGTGTGTCTGCTGCTGTTCTAGTGGAATTTGGCACTTCTTTGTGTTAATCTGCAGTTTCCTCCAGACAAGCACTCTCTCAATCAGAAATGTCAATAAAAGCTCTGTGCGACCTACAGCCTGATTCGCAAGTAGAGAATAACTGTAGGTAGAAACTTAACTGCTGGTCTTTTAAAGAGGGAGAAGATTGTTGTAGCCATGCTTTCTATCTCAAGATGAAGCAAACTGAGCCATAAGGTGCTGCAGGATAATCACTTGATGGAGTTTGTGTCTGCTACGTCTGCAAGGCTCTGTTTCCGTATAGTACAGTAAAGAACATGGCATAAAGCTGTATATTCTGATAGTCAGCGGTCTTTATGTATGGGCCAGCAAACAAAACTTTTAGCACTCTTCATCACTTCCCAAAATCTAAAAGCTGTCTATTAATAATAAAATACAGAGTCTGAAGCTGTTTTGAAGTGACAAATTCCATAGCTCCACTTGCATATAGATCATGCTAATGAGGACCCTTGTGTGTAGCTATGGTCTCTGATAACTCCAAAGCTGCTTTGCACTGCTGCTTCACTGAATCACTTTGTGATGATTCCTATTAAGACGTGATAAAAAAAGGTTTGTTTTTTAAAAAATAAAAATCTCATCTGTGTAGCTGATTTGCCTATAAGTGCTCATTTGAGGTAATCTCTCTACCGCATTTTGATTTTGAGATGTACCATAGATTTCACGGATTATTATTTTTTCCTCTTTCTAGTGCTGGAGGTGTTGAAATATTTAACAGTGATGGTAAAATTAAGGTTTCCAATACTCTGGAAAGTCGGCTGGATCTTGTAGCCCAGCAGGTGAGTTTCTCTTAACAGCCAAGGTGAACAAGATGTAATTAACTAGTTTTGTCTTGTAATTAAATCCTAGTGTTTCCAATGTGTTAAGTGTCACAGTAGTGAGTGGGATCAGATTTCAACGTGGATGGCAAGTAAGAAGTTATTTTTGAATGGAAAGAAGCAAATTACCTACTGTTTGTGCTTTTCTACAACAAACGTGGCTTTTCCCAGAATGATGCCTTTTGAATTAAGCATGAGCATAAAAAATCTAGAAATTATCATACTGAAAGACTTATTACAACTGCACTGCAGTCAAGATGTTGAAATGCTGAGGCTAACATGAATTACTGAAGCTAGCTTGAGTACTAGAAACTTTGGCTGAGACCTATTATACCCTAGTGGGAAAAAATAGCTCTGGCATCTCTTTCTTCTGCGGTATAGGCAATCCTTTAAGTCTATAGAGTAGCCGGCAATGTGTGATCAGGTAAAGGCTTCAGAAAACTCAGATGGATTGGCTTCTTAATTTTGAAGCCTAGCCTAGCTATCACACAGTGCCTGCAATGAGGAATGTATAGCAATTGTATTGCCCAATGCATATAACTGATGTACTCTTTCTCAACAGATGATGCCAGAAATCAGAGTGGCTCTCTTTGGTGCTAATGCCAACAGGAAGTTTTTGGACTAAACCTCTATGAGAGAAGGTGGGATCTGTTCCACTGCCATACTGAAGGGGATGCAAAAGCATCTGCTAATTTAAAATCTTGAAATATAACATTACCTTGTCATCCAATATCTGTTCTTCAGTGGAATAATTTTGCATACCTGCTGTGCTTAGCCTCTCTACTTGTGGTTAGAATGCATTGCTTAAAGGATGTGAAGACATACATATTCATCCAGCAGTGACACTAGAAAATGGAGGCATTTGGGCTCTTTGCTTTCCTTGCACTGTTGAGGCTCTATAAAGACAAGTGGTCCACTTAGGGTCGCTCTCTTTGCTTTGGCCACATCTCTTTCAAGTTGTCTAATCTGTGAAGTAAATTACTGTGCTGCCGATGGGAAATCCCTTTTCAGTTAAGGTCTTCAGTCTTATAGAGGGCATGCATTCCTTCCGAGGGTTAGTAGTTTAATTCATGTTACTTGGTCAGGCATTTTTCTGTTCTGTATATGTGATTTTAAAAAAAAAAAAAAAGCCTGAGCCTGTAAGACTGTATTTATTAAAATAAAAATGCGTGTGTGTATGGAGTTCTTTGTAGCTTCTCTCTGGGGGATTGGCAGCAACCTTTGAAAAGTGGGCTTGTTCTTATAAGGACTTATACTTGAGGGCTGTGTGTAATAACTGTCCTGTGAAGCTAGAATTCAAGTGCATGGAGCACTGTCAAGCTATTTGCTTGAGTAGTGTTGGATTGTAGGCCAGCCTTTTGAATGGGACTCTAGGATGAACTTCCTAAAAAAAAAAAAAATGGGTCAGTAGTTTTGCTCCCGCAGTCTTCTTTCACGAGAGAGAACTAGAGTAACACAACTGTGCTACTTAGATAGAACAAACGCAGTCCACTTCCAGATACAGGTTTGTTGCATCTGTGCAGGAGATCCAAACCATACTCCTTTAGTAATTGTATTTCAGGACTTGAGGAGCAACAGCTGACTGTTGCAACTCTGTTGTTGGTAACTATTAAATTAAATAACAGTAACATAACTATATTCATTACCTAATCTGTTAAGGTTTACAAGTGCTTACTTCTCCTTTGCTTCTGCAGTGATAACTAATATTGTCTCCACCTTCGTACGGTGTAGGACAGAAAAAAATCTGGAGGTGACTTTCCACACTACAAGCCTCTGCCAGAATACCTGACTCTTGACGTAGTACTCAGTTCTGAAACTTGTTTCATGAAAATAAGAAACAGCTCAAATGAATTACTGCTTGAACATGTTTTGAAATCATCTTCTCTCATTCAGAAATGGTAGGAATTTTATGTTGTGCCATGAAGAATACTGGCCAAGCTGCAGCACACACTGCTTTATGCAGTGGTTTTAACCTGAGGCCTTTTCTTCTTAAGCTGAGGTGCATGCCCTCACATAAAGTGAAGATTCTAAATACTAGATAAGCCTTTTGCTGCCTCATTTCTCTAAAATGGAGATTGACTGCTAAGAAAATCCTGAATCCAAACTTATTTAATCTTTTGATTTCCTCTTGCAAAATAAGAATCTCTAGCAAGGTTGGGTTTATTTGTTTGTTTGTTTTACTGCTCCTTGCTGTTGTATTTGGGTACCAGCTCTTGTTTTCCACAGAGATGGTTATGGTATTTATTCTTTTAGTGCTTTGCTTTTTGATACATGATTCTATGACTGGGCAATAAGTGTATCTGGACTGAAGTCCTACCCTTTCTAGATTTTGGATGACCATTGCAGCTTTCATTTTTGCAACTGTCAGTGATCAAGCCCCCGGACTAAGCACTGGGCTCTGGTTTTGTGACACACCTGTAGTAAAGGAAAAACCTTTACAGATGCATGCTTAACTGTGGTGTTTCTTGGTTCAAACAGTACTTTTTGGAACAGATCCGTTTCGGTCCTTTCTGATGGTTTCATCCAACTCATCGATAGGCTATTTGCCAGTGCTTTGGAAATGTAGTTGAACTTACTTGAGTCATTTTCTGTACAGCTAGGGCTAGGAACAGAAACTCTAAATGTTGAAGCAGAGTGCAGCATATGGAAATAAAATATTGAGGGGTGAGACGAGAGGAGGTTACTAGTCTTTGCTAGGTGATATGCACTATGAATATTTGTTCCAATGCTCAATAAGAAGACTGCAAACAGATTGTAAGATCATCTCTCTAGACGTGAATGGCCTGGATTTGGCCATCATAATTCAAAAGCGTAGCTTTTATGTTGTCGTAGTGCTGCTGCTTCCCTTGCAAAACTGATACAGGCAATGGTGTAATGCATGTAGGTAGTCACAGACAGAATAAGCTAAAGGTTGGGACACCGAAGAGACAGAATGGCTCTGTTGTACATCACTCCGCAGTCATGGGCCATGTTACTACGTTATCTTCAGGTAGGTTTTATTCAGTAAAAAAATTTGTGTTAGAAGTTATCAAACCCTTCTCTGATACCAATAACATAAATGTGCTTGGCCATGACAAAAAGGCATTCTTTGTACAGCATCTGATGGTCTGCTTCTTTCATTAAGGTAGCAAGACCTTCACAACTCCAGGTCTTGTGTATTTTTGAAAAGCAAAATACCAACTAACTGTGGAGCTCATAGCAGAAGATAGGAGTTGCTATTTACTAACTTTTTCCTCTTTCAGTTTTGTATCTTCTTTTGTATCTTCCTGTGCAGCAAAGAGGAAGAAATAACCACTGTCATAATTGCATACAAAAATTAGCCAGCTTGGGAATGTTTTCAGCATTAGTCACTTGGGCAGCAGTGACTCAAAGCAGGTCCTCAAGAAATGGTCCAGACGCTTCATGTATATTGCATCTGAAGCCTGAGACCAGTGGTTCAGTACGCCCTGCCCCACCACAAGCTGACTGAAGACTTTGTTTACCCAGTTTATTAGCGGAATTGCCAGCTCTCTTAGCTTGAGCCATGTCAGCTGTGACAGGAACTTCCTCCTGCACCAGCAGTTCCCTGCAAGTGCGATACAGGAAAGTGCTGATTAATCTTAACACCGGGATGACCACGTGAGAGAACTGAATTACAAAAAATGGTGTCTGCATTGCCTGCAACATCCTTGTCCTTCATCCTGGGTAATAGGGTCTGTTACCAAATTTTATTACCTTAGAGATGCAGAGAAAAATGGGAATATCCCACCCAGGTTTACCTAGTGTAGTTAGCAATCCTGTTGCATCTTCATCCAAGCTTCTTTTCAGAAGAACGCAGGTTTTTACAAGTAATTTGTGAATGAAGAGCAGCGTTTCTGGTGGATTTCAGAGTTCCTGCTGGAGTGTCGTTGCGGTACTGTTTTATTGTTTGAATCGTACTGACGATTTAAGCAAATGAAGTAGGATACACAACTTTTTTTTTCTTACTGATTTACCTGGTGACCTAGGGTGAATGAGGATATTGATCTTTATTCATCTTTTTATAAGCATGCAAATTATTCGAGCTGGGTATAGTAAACCAGCCCTAAGCCAGATCAGCACATTAAGACAAATACAGGGAACGGAGGAGGCATTAAATCAGGGTTCAGGTAAAAGAATTAGATTGTGATGGGAGAAGCAAGCACCGCAGACTAATGGGAGAGTACAGAGCTGGTTCCGTCTCGCGCTGGGAAAGGAGTTAGGGAAATAGATAATGTTGCACTTGTTCTGCACAGTTGGCAATGGAAAATTTAAGAGCGGGTTTGACACTAAGTGATCAGCAGAGGACTTAAAATGTTACTGCGCATCTGAGTCACAACCCCTTTTTTAGTACTCAGTTTTCATACTGAAAGGTATTACTATTAATCAGAGAGACGCACGCTGTATGAGTGATCCCTGGAGGTGCGCGCAAGTGTCAAGGTGAGAGAAAGACTAGAAGAAAACAACCAGAAAGTACCAGGAACTGAAGCCTCGCCTGCTGAGAGCCGCTCTTGGAGGAAAGCACGGCTGTGTTTTCCGTAGCAAGCCTCGTTAAAAGTAGGAGCGAGAATCTGGCATTTGGGTGAAAGCCCAGCTACAGGCTTTTGGGTACTCGCCGCCCAGGGAGGTCACAGATCCCGGCATGCAGCCGGGGGCGAGCTGGCAGGAGGAGGGTACCTTGCTTGTTGTGTGCCCCTGTCCTGATCTGCTGATGCTAGCAAGCAGTGGGAAATAAGTAAGAGGAGAATATGCATCTCTGTTGGAAAATAATAGAAGAAGAGCGTTAGAGAATACCTTACACAGACCAATACTGTACAACAAGGCTGGAGCCATCTCCACAGACCCACGTTCTGTGCCTAAAATAGTCTGGGAGATTAAGAGAAAATTACGCATTTATTTAATTCCAAAGAAATTGCAGTGAGTGAGGTACAGAAAAATTTGGAAATAAACGTGAACTACCCCAGAGGAAAATTCAAAGCAAAAGATTTTCCTTGGTTAGGTGAACTCTGAGACGTTATTCGGGGGAGCAGACGACTCGAGACTGCAGTAAAGCACCTTGGCAAAAGGTGCTTAGTCCCGAGCAAGAGCCCGGGCAGCCTGCAGCACAGTTTGGCTATGTTTGCCATTTGATACAGGCAGCTCAGAGAGGCAGGTGGGGGCCCCCATCCTGCTTCTCAAACATGTTTGTGGGGAACAGGCCGTGACAAGAAGATCCTTCCAGGGCTGGGAAGTTCCTGCTGCTCTCAGCCAAGGTAGTGCTGGCTGGGAAACCCCACATCTGTCTTCCTGGGCATCCCTTCCTTTCAGAGCATCCCATACTGCTTCTTTGGTTTTGCTTTAGAGAAAACAAGAAAAACATCTGTACGGGAGCATTCTCAGGTTGAGAATCATGCTGACTATGCCAAAAAGCGTCATTTCCCAGCCTACAGTACATGATGGAAATCAAAAGCTGTGGAAATCAAGACTACCACATTATTTTACGTAGTTCAAGGCTGATGTGTTGGGAGAGTCTGCATAGTGAAACAATTAAGGCTGGTCCCTCCCAGCATTTCTGAAGGCCCTTTCCCATCCTGTGTCCAGGAGTCTTTGCATGAGGTCAGCTCCTTTTTCAGACAGTCCCTGATCCACGCATCCCCTACCTAAACACCGAATGACCGCACATACCCAACCTAGCACCAGCTGCAAACCCTGGGGCTGTTCAGGATCCTGGATTTCATCCTACCATCCACCAGTGGCAGAAACACCCTTATTTTTCACATGAAGCTGTTAGAAGTCTTTTAACAGAGGGATTGGAAGATCATTGGTTTCTGAGTGGCTTTGACTTTACAGCATGAGCCTCTCGGGTCTGAAAGACTTATTGCCTCCCAAACCAGCTGTAGGGCATGCAGGAAATTCATGCTTTCCCCTCCTTCCCCTCTCCTGGCTGCCCATAGGGGTTCTTCAGCCCTGTGCATTAGCAGGGACATTTTTCCCCCCACCTGCTGGCCTTCTCCCCTTAACAGGCAGCTGCTGGTATACAGCTGCCACCCCCTGAGTTCCTACAGCTCTGCGATGCTCTCCATGGCTGCAGGGTATCAGACACGGAGGCAGCATCACGATGTCTAGCTGGACATGGCCAGGAGGTGGAGGGAACAACTGCCTTAGTTTGGCCTAGCTGGTGAACTGAACTCAAATAAGGGAGAGGGGGCACATTGAAGCATTCCTGGTATTTGGAGGGGCTTTGCAGAACTCTTCTTTCATTCACACGTGCACAGTCTCTACCTGGCTTCCTTGGGACCATTGCCTGCAGCGTGATCGTAACACCTTTCTCCTAGCGAAGGTTGCTGTTACTGGCAAAAAAAGGATGGAGGGGGGAGCCTCCCCTTCAGTCAGCAGCAAAATGCTAGAAGTTAGTCCCAAAACAAGTCTTGAGTGAGAGCACAAGAACCTGTCTAAAAATGAAATTGTGAGTATTGCCCCCCCCCCGCCATGCACACGATGTTGAGCAGTTTAAGCGAGGCTGCTCGTTCCACACTTCTGCTCTCAGCTCCAGACACTTTGCAGGAAAACGGTAGCATCACTAGCCAGGGCTGGGACAGGAGGAATTGGGTAGCTCCTTTCACCCGCTGACTGGGTGACCTCCCAGGCAGCCACCACCCATGGGGTAGGACTGCAGAGCCCTCCCTGAGGCCCACAGGGCTTCTTGTGGCCAGTGCTGCCCCACACCAAAGGGATTCATGGCACAGCACCAAGTGACAGCCTGGATGTCTCTTTGTGCCTCCCCAGTCCAAAGCAGGTCTCACCCCACCAGCCAGGATCCTGAAGCTGAATTTCCAGCAAGCAAATCCCTACCAGTGAGTCCCAGGCTCCTCTCCGAACCACCACCATCTCGACTTTCTGCAGAGGACAGCTCAGGCACGACTACACCACAGGGACATGGACACATGCGTGTACCCACTGGAGCACCAGCTGCACAGACACCTCTTTCCTGGCCACGCTGGCAGCACCTACCCCTGCACTCATGGGTCTCCACCCTGGTTCCCAAAACACACTCACTTGCACATGCTGGACCACAGCCACCCAGCAGCAGCAGTGTTTCTTGTCTCAAGGCATAAGAAGCCAAAAATTCTGCAGAGAATTCAAATAGTGTGTATCAGAAAAAGAAATCCCCTCCTGACTTCAGCTGGTGATCAGCTTTTAAGTCATGGGGCTCAAGATACCACCAGGAGGGGTTTTTTAGCACTTAGAACTGGGGTACTATTTCACACTGTTTTTAAACGCAGAGGTATTTCCTTGTTCAAGGAAAAAAAAAGAAAACATCAAGTGGCTTCTCAGATAATTCTGCAATGAGCTCCGCAGATTACTCATGTACTGGTTAAAAAGGCTTTATAATAGATATGTCTGTTGAGATCACATAATTTTTCAATGCTAGGCTGAACTTGGGTTATTAAAGCAACTATTTAATCATTTACCCTCTGGCAGTTATCCTCTTTACTTAGGTCTAAATGCTGCCCAGACGGGCAAGACTCCACACACCTTGTATGTACAGTCAGCAGCCCCACACGCTCCCTGCGTGTTCATCTACCGATCAGTGTGAATCAAAAACCCTGGAGGGGCCATAACTGTTGGAGCCACAAATGCCAGAGATGAGACACCCGAGAGACCTACACACCATCTGCGCAACACATAAAAGCATATGCAGCTGTCCCCATGGCTGTATGGGCATATTTACGTTTACTCGCTATGGCACACTCACGGCGCAAAGGCACAGATGTGATTAAAAATGCGTGTGGGCAACCTCATACAAATGCCCACTCCCCGAAAACCACGCACAGCGTTTGTGTGTGTAAAACCAGCCCGTTCCCTGTGCAGCCTTTGCTAAGCGGGTGCTGCTCCAGGGTAGCAGCAGCTCTCGCAGCCCTCATGGACTGTCCAGAGGAGAGCCACAAAGCTGG